CGCATGATAAATAATCTTTTTGCCTAATGGCTGATGGTCAGTGTGTGTTAAAAGCATCTGTTTGCACACAGTTATACAGATCATTACATAATCAGCCAAAACATAGAAAAGCAGTACAGTGGAACCCAATGGATTCTTAACGACTCAGCCATGTTTCTAATATTTAAGGTGTATTTAAGGTGATTTTATTTTTCATATCTGTTGTTGTTTTTTTTTCTTTTTAATACAAATCAAAAGCGTTTTGATACATTTAGTTAGATATTATCGCCAAAAAACAATGTGGACTCCAGGGTGACATAATAGTAGCTTACATGCAGGGGGTGGACGGTTGGTTAGTCCTACGCACCCCGACGTCATAACCAAAACTTCTTCCATCGTTTCCTTTGTTACAATTTGCCTCGTGTTGCCCATGACCAGCGATTAAAAAGAGTCCATTCGAAACGTGAAAGAGTTATAAACATAATAGGACTCAATTTAAACATTTACACTGCATTTACAGCCTTACAGTAAATTATTCAGTTGTGGTAATTCCCTTGCTTGGTGCCTGCACGGCATCTCTCGGGCACATATGCAAATATGCATTTCCGCGCGGAATAATGAGGCCTCTCGGGAAAAGGCAGGTGACTGATACCCACGTGAAATGACTAAGATTATCCTGCGAGCAGGGTTTCTCTCTTGCACGTCTTTTAGCGTTTAAGAAGTCGTTCGCGTCGCTTCAGTCAGTGGCGAGAAACCTCCTGGGGCGTAAATAAACCAACTACGCGACAAACAAGTCACGCGAACGACTTCGTAAAGGCTAAAAGCCGTATATGCAAGAGAGAAACCGCTACGAATTTCAGTAAACGACGAGGTACGCAAGAGTTTAAAGGCCGTCATACAACGCCAATCAACTACAATCTTTATTTACATGCAGGTTTGATAATTTTTTTTATGATAGCTAATGGTAAAGCGAAGTCAAATGAAGTTATATACAGAATATCATTATCATTAATTAAGGGATTGAACAAACGTTTTCGTGTTAGCTCTAATTCATTAAATGATATTTCTTACATTTTGCCAATGCCACTTGCATACAACAGAGAAGACAATAAATGCACACACGTACACACACAATACACTACTTGAGGAAGAACAAATATGAGCAGTCACTTTCAAATACTATTGCTGTAGCAGGTATTGTTTTCCCGCCCCGTCCACACAAACCCTCCCGGTATTTAGCCTGGAATCAGCATATTTGACACAAATAGGCTACGGATTGAATGAGCTGCCTCTCTTGTTTCGTGTGTAAGGAAGGCCGATACTAGCCTGCGTAGCAGGCGCTTGGAAGTAGTGGGCACGAGAAAAAACGGGCGCGCGCACTTGCCCGCACCTGTTCTCTCTTTCGCCCACTACTTCCAAGCGCCTGCTACGCAGGCTAGGCCGATACGTGATATTTGGTTTTAAAAATACCTCCGCGGGTTTGTGTGGACAAGGCCTTAGTAACCGTCGGGAAAAATAAATTTAATCTACTGCACAGGCGTTACTTTTCGCGTTTCTCAGGCGAGCGAGGAGCGCCAGATCAAGACAGCAGTTTTCCGCATTTTTTTTGTGCGCCTTCCCCCGTCGCGCTTGTCTCCCGCTCCGCGCTCGCTTTGCGTTTCCCTTCACTCGCCTGAAAATCGCGAACAAATAAGGCATGTTCTACAGGCTAGGAGAATTTGGAAGGTCGTTTGAATGACGGGAAAACCTTTCCAGAGGTCCAGACAGCTGTAGATGGCATTTACTCAGCGGTTAATCCCAGGGTAGCTTATGTTTGATTCGTCAAAGACGATCATCATTTCAAAGTTTACTTTCTAAGACTTACAATCACAGCGTACTAAATACACAAAAAAATAATCTACACCATGGTAGTAAACGAACTGTCCTTATAAGCATCTAAACACTATCTGAATTGGTGCTAAAAGTATCGCTATTGATATCTAAAACCAAGGAAATATTTGGGAAAAAAATAACCTTCACCTATATACGTACACAAATGATCCTTTAAATGAAATTAAGTGCCTGTATTCTATATTCTGCATAATACCGAGAGAAAACTAAGGCTGCTGTGTGAGTAGACACTCGGTGTTTCTGACTGCTTATTAGGTTAATAACGCAGCGCCCTTCATTTCACACAGAATGACTGGCAGATCATCGTATTTACTTACAAGGTCTACAGTACGCAATTTTTTTTTACCTATGCCTTATGTTCTGAGCCATTTGGAAGACCCATAATTAACAATTAATGAATGAGGCTGAATATCTTATGAAGAATTATGGAGATCGAGGAGGGTGTTATCTTTCGAGGCCGTAGGCCGAGGCGGATAACACCCTCCGAGATCTCCATAAATCTTCATATGATACGAAAACCAAATTCAATAATTGTTTTATCATTCATTCAAAATAATTCCCAGTTTAAAAACATGGCTAAAACATGCTTTTTTCTTTATTTCTTAAAATTCCGCCTAGTATTTAAATTGACCATGGGGGGAAATCTCTATTCCTCATAAGCTCGGCTTCTCGGAGATTTCCCCGCCACAGTCACTCCTCCCAAGAAATGTACAAATTTTAAATTTAATGTTAATTAACCTATTTATTATCGTTTTTATTCTGCTTGTAATTCATTGTGTGTGGAAATAAAATAAAATAAAATAATGCTTACCTCCATCGATCCATCGATGTTAAGTTCATCTTCGATAGTGCACGTTTAGGTTTGTCCAGCTCCGAAAATATTCTCCAAATAGCTAGCAGATGTCGACCTTCGAGTTGTCTTCTCGGCTGTTCTTGCCATGTTTTTAGCTATTTTTTCGCCTAGTTCTTACCCTTGAAACGAGTGAAATGGGCGCCATTTTTCAAGTTCACAACCAAAACAACTCAACCTCGTCCCCAGGTCTTCTCGGTTAACGGTGCCTTAACCTGCAAGAACGCTGCATTTTTGACGTCATTTCCTCGTTAAACACAAAATTCTTCCAAATTTGGTCATCAGAAACTGGTTATGGTGAATTATGCGTGTGCTTTTAGCCAATCAGAATCGGGGAAATATTTTGAATGAATAATAACACTGGTTATACGTCGAGAATTCTTCGTCGCGTTAATCGTACTCACATACTTAAGCGACCTTTGACTAAGGCCTCCTTTATATGGATAAAACTTGCCCCGGGTAGAAGGGGTCACTCGTGAACCGTTGACATGATAAACAGAAAGTTGGCTCGGCTAAAGAGGTGACCCGCCCAGCAAAAGTTGGCTCGGCTAGAAGGGTGACCCGCCCAGCAAATGTTGGCTTGGCTAGAAGGGTGATCCGCCCAGCAAAAGTTGGGCTATAGCTGTAGAAAACATAGCCTGCGGACACAGACATATTTCCGGTCGTCGCTTCTCTCCACCCGAACCGTGACATGGGATTCAACTAAATAAAAGTTAAAGTTTTGTGTAATAAAGTTGAATTACTCGCAAAGTAGTATTTTTTTCTGTTCTGTTCCTTACATTTTTGGTATAAAAGCCTGGAAAACCACTTTTTTACATTTAAAACTCCATCCGGCGGTGTTCGTTAAGTCTTGCTTACCAGGCCTTCTCTTCGAATCCTGAGGGGTGGACGCTAAGTGCGCGGTGTATTCTACTAAAACACCACGCTTAGCGTCGGCACCACAGAATTTGAAGAGAAGGCTTGGTAACCAAGACTAAACGAATACCGAAAAACTTCCTCAATGTCAGTAATTTAACTTTATTGTACAAAAATTAACTTTTACTTGGTCGAAATACATGTCGCCTGTAGCCGATGGCAACAAAACGTCTGCGCTAAATCCGTCCGCCCTACGGTTGAATAGCAAAGGGCACGATACAAAACTCCGTAAGTTGCATCTGTGCCTTTCCGCCACTTCCACTTTATCAACATTTTAATCTTCTTTTCGGACCATTCTTCGTTGTTTTTATGGACAGCAATCAGTTCCGCTTCCTTAAAACCAAGTTGACGCCCCAAGGGTTTCCACGTTTCGAGTTCCCCTGATAGAAGCTCTAGCTCCTGATAAGTTGGCTGACCCTCTTTAATGTTATCTACAAAAAGAAAGCAACTGCCGTCTGTTTTGAGGAGAAGCAATTGGATAGGTTGGTAGTTAGCTTAAAATTTCAAGTTATCAACATATTACCCGATTATCTAGTACCCAGCATGGCTTTAATTGCAAGAATTGCACGCAAAATAGATAAATAAATAAAAAATAAATAAACAAAGTTTAAAGAAACTAAATTTTCACTGAAACAAATAATTAATTAATCCGTCTGACCGGGATTTTTTTTCTTCCTGCAACAGGGGGAAAGGGGGCTCGGAGTCCCCCCTTTTATAACTTCAAAATTGCCCATGATACGGCCACCAAAATTACGAAGAATAATGTAAATCACGTAAATCTTTTCCTTGCTTTAATTCAATTCTATTTCTACGTAAGGGATTTTTACAGCAGATCCAACGGACGGAACTTGGAAATGGGTTTTTTGAGCTGGTTTTTCCCCACTTGAACTCTTGCCACCAGTACATGGCCATCTTTCCCTTGATACAACACGACGATTCTCCCAAGAGGCCAATTTTCACGAGGTCCGTTGGGCGATATGACTAACACAACGTGCCCTGTTTGGAGGTCTCGTTCTTCTTTCAGCCATTTCCTTTTCATGTTAAAACGTGGGATCCATTCTTTGGGCCAACGATGCCAAAAGTGTCTAACTAGTTCCGGCACCCTTCTTTTCTTTAGACTATAGCTGGTCTCGTCAACGGATTCTGGGGCGAATTGGCCAACAACTTCACCAATCAGAAAGTGGTTCGGTGTCAATGGTACATCATCTTCAGGATTCGCTGATTGGTACATGAGGGTTCTCGAATTTTAACAATGCTTGTGTTCCTGTCAATGCTGTTCCTAACTCTTTATCTGTCACATCTGCATTGCCTAAAATAGCATTCACAGCCCGCTTTGCAGCTTTAATCATAGTCTCGTGTACCTCTCCAAAATGGGGCGCTAGTGGAGGATTGAAGTGCCATATGACTCCTTTGGTTGCTGTTGGCTGTTTTTTTGTTTTTGCTCTTTTTTTTCGGATCCAGTGCTTCGCCCAGTTCTCGAAATTCTCTCTCGGCCGCAACAAAATTCGTACCATGGTCAGATAACATCTCTCTTGGTAGTCCTCTCCATTCTATAGTAGACTCTCAGGAATGAATCAGTGTAAAGTCCAAAGGCCATCTCAAGGTGAACCGCTTTCGTGGCCAGGTACGTAAACAAACATAAGTACCGCTCTTGCCTGCGCGATCCTCTTCCTTGAATTGCGAGGAAAGGTCCCCCCAAATCTACCGTTATTTGCGCAAAGGTTCTTAAGTCTGATTTGTGGAAGAGGCGCCATAATATGCTTAGAAGTTCTGCCTGAGAAGCTTTTTTGGTCTTGGCAACTCCTCCTCCTCTTCTTCAAAAATTGGCTTCGAGGTAGGTACCGGGTGGATGTACGTGGCGTGTGGCGTGCGCGAATTACCCGTGGCTACTGGTGGATGGTAGGAGATTTCGGCGGAGGGACTGGCGCGTAGCCACTTTTGGGTACGTCGCCTCAGCACCGCCATTATCGAGCATGATAGTGAAAGTTTAGCGCTAAAAAGCACTTCGGGACTGTGACTTCACGGCAATCAAATGTCGGAAAAAGTTAGACCAACTATTCATCGCGTAAACTGGGAAGTTGGAATCACAATGCGATCCTTTTTCGTCGCTGTTTGTTCGATTCTAACTAACTTCGCCGACTTTCCTTAATTCTTTCCAACCTTCAGATATTGTATGCACTTGGTAAGAGTGTGAAAAGTATAACAACAAATACAGAACTCAAAGGGCCAAAACGGAGGAAAAACGACTTTGAGAGGTATTATAACACTTTCTTTTAAACTTTATTTGTACTTTTTAAATGAAAGATCACTACTTCCTTGCAAAGTTCTGTTAGGGTTATTCAATACAAACGCCATTATTCAATTTCTAGTACCCAGATTCCCAACTCGCACAATACGTTTGGGTCACCAGAGTGTGTTGTAACGATGCTATTTTGCAAGGACAACCTCTTTCACCAATTTCGCGCGCTTGAGAATATGCGCAGACTCCCCACGAAATCGCAGATCACCCAACGACTCACTTTGGGAGCGTCTCCTTCGACGACGCAATAAATAAGGTTTTATCAAATAAAATTTTAGTTGAAATAATTAATAACTAATTCATTTTTAAGGTTTTATCAGAAATACCTGGAAGACTTTGCGCCCCAACAGATGATGTGAAAGGACATCCCTGCAAGATAACCAAATTAGGACGTTACTTTAATTTCAAAATCACTGTTACTAAAGGTACTCTAGGATAGTGCTTTATAAGCATTATACAAGTTTTGGCAAACAACACAGAATTGCGCAACAGATTGTTTTGTGATCATTAATATGTCACATAAGTCAAATATGGAGTATAAAAGGATGGGGGGTTATACCATGAGGCGGAGCCTCTCTGTATAAAACTTTGTAAAGTACCCTCCCCCAGAAAGTGGATTTAAAGTGAATAGTGTAACTATTCATAAAGGCCAAAGAAATTCTGGTTTAACCTGTCAACCTAACCCGAAAACGAATTTTACCCGAAATAGCGCCCGTTCTCACACTTCTTTGTAACCAGTTTTGAAACCAAACCTGTCTGAGAGAAAGGACTTTTGGGGATGATGTGTCCTTTATGGAAAAAATAAATCTTTCAAAGGCATCAGTGAGACCATCAAATAGTACAGAGAAGTGACTGATACTTTACGTGTGGGGGGCATATTATTCCTTACCCATATATTAATCCTTGCGACTTATTAATCAATTGACTAATTGCGGGCGACAAGAGGAGCCCGCAATCCTAATCGCCAGGTTGTTATTACGCATGCGTCGCATGTATGCAGCCAGCATTCGTTTGGACTTCCACTAGGAATGAATGGAATGCACAAAACGCAATGTGATCACGCGCGTTTGGACATTTTATCACTCATAATCTGATCACGCGTGGTTTGATCATTTGTCGCGTGAAACTTACGCAAATGACAGAGTTGGAGCAAAATCATTTAGACCTTTGGCCCTAGTTGTTCAAAAGGTGGATAACGCTATCCATCGGATAAATCTCCATCCACTTGATAGCACAATTGGTTTTCCTAATACTTATCCGTTGGATAGTGATTTATCCGGTAGATAGCGCTATCCATCTTTTGAACAACCGGGGCCTGATCGTTGACGCCCGCACTCCCTAACCTTTGGTTATCACTAGTTTATTATTTATTTAAATTTTTGAGTGTACTATGGTAATAGGACTGAATGGAGTGCAAGTGAACAGTCGGTAACCATACCAGTGATTAAACACAAGCTCTCTTACCAGTTTATCATTACTAATACAAAATTTGAGATGGCTATCTTGAATCTCGTAACATTCTTTATCCACTTCAATTTGGGTTTAGACAAAAGTGCTCGACAAATCATGCACTGATAAAAATTACTGAATCAATCCGTAACTCAACAACAATGAGTTTGGCTGTGGCATTTTTATTGACCTAAAAAGGCATTTGATACAGTTAATCATTCCATTCTTTTATCAAAACTGAATCATTACGGGTGAGAGGTAAAACCTATGACTGGTTTCATTCGTATCTGTCAAATAGAGAACAATTTTTATGCATAAATGGCCATAACTCTGATTCTCTCTCAATTACTTGTGGAGTACCTCAGGGATCCATTCTTGGACCTCTGTTGTTTTTGCTATATATTAACGATTTACCGAACACCTCCAAACTGCTTAGTTTTCACTTATTTGCTGATGACACTAATATATATTTTTCACGTAAAAACCTTGAGAGTGTGTCCAAGAGAGAACCAGGCAGGGGGTGATAATGCTCAAATCACGGATTTCGCTCAAACTTGGCACAATTGATGGGTGTGGTGAGATATTAACCTCGACAAAAAGTAAGGTCGCAATATTGAATTCCCTGGGATTTACAGGGACCCCCCTAAAAACGACAAAATCTACTCATTTTTGCATAATTAAATAGCTAACTTTTGGTTTGGCTGTTCAACAAGAAGAAAAGACAACTTCAAATCTAATCAACTTTATCGTCTTCTATGTTTATCAGACTTAATGCTCAGTAATTTATTTTTACTCTCTAATTCCATCTCTTGCTATTATTTGGCCTAAAGTGAAGACATCTTCTTACTGTTTTGACGAAACCCTAAATTTAAGGTATTTTAGTGGCTAACATCTCCCATGAGCAACAACCTATGTACTTAATTCTCACATATTCTTTGAAAGACATCTTTAAGGTTATCAAATCAATCATAAAATATTTGGGCAATCTCATACTTTATCAATAATGACGTATTATGTACATCTGACTTGACTCTTATTTGTCATTTAACCAAAATACGAAAAAACGTAACATTCGTTTTTTTAAACAAAAATAGCACAAAGTTGGCGAGAAGTCACAAATCAGATGCCTCATTATCGATACTAATAGCGGAATTGTTAGAAAGTGTCACCTGAGGCATGTTTTCTGTTTTTTTTTTTATGGACGTTTAGATGGATATTTTATGGAACGCTTGAGTAAACACAAGGAGCAAAAGATTTAGTTCAAAACTTCGATCGGTCCAACTTATAGGTGAAACAAGACCCAACAAGGATCAAAGATAGTGAATAAATGTTACATTCACGTCTCTCAGATGCTTTAGTCCAGATTTGCTGCTCCAGTTTCGTCTGGTTCTCTGTGGCGTTACTTCGTGACGAGGTAATGCAATCGAAACATCTTGAAACAGTGTCGGCTTTTCACCGAACATTCGAAGTCTTTGAAATAAGTTGTAGTCAGACTGAACAAAATCATTCTCAAAGGACAAGAAAGATCACTGACAATCCGTCTATACCTACGGAAAACAACCACCTGCTCGAACACCAACCGTCTTTGACTTTGGACTCTGCCTAAACGATGGAATCTGCGACGCCGGACTACCGGACTCCGGAATGCGGAATACGCTATCTATTGTTTGTACGCGCCAATATCCTGTTATAACTGGTGTGTTGAAAATAGGTTGTGAAAGTCGTGTTACTTGAAATTTTGAGTTTATTCGATGTTGACATTAATTACCATGATAACAATGGTCCATAATAGCCCTTTTTGTAGTCAGACCGTGCCGTGCAATTTTTAGACAATTAATGACTAGCCACTGGGTATACTGACTTACTTACTTGTATTTTAATCCTCGTAGTCTTACAACTATACAGGTTGGTATCTGTATCTGGGTATATTATTGACTACAAAAATATAATAATAACCGTTTATAAAAGTGTTGAGGAAAAACTTCTGAGGAATACAAAAAGACCCAAAAGGAGGCACTAATACACTGCAAAAAAAAGTCGACAAGACTTCTTTAGCTATTCAAGGAAGGTGTTAAAGAACAGTTTCTTGAACACAGACGAATACACTATATTCACTTCTCATTTAAGCTGTCATTTGCGGATTCATACAGTAGATTAAGTTCTCTTAACGGACACTCGTATATAGCAAATAGCTCTTACTTACGACCGCCATCACAAAATCCCGTTTCAACTTCCACACAAACTCTGGATTTTTACATTCCGTAGGCGGCCGCGGACATAAAAGGGTTTACCGGCGAATTAGATGTTAGCTTTGATTTAAAGCTCTCGTAAGCAGACACTCGAAAGAAAATCTTATCCGCCTCTGAATGTTGTTGTTGTTTTTTTTTTTCATATCATGTCCACAGTCATACCGCTCTTTGTCACTGTTATGAATCATTCTTATATATCCGTTTCAGAGTTACCGTATGAGATTCATTCTTGTAAGCGGCCAGATCCAGTTAAGGACACCTTTTTCTCGTCCCGAGGGTGTCCTCTTACGAGAACTTCCACTGTATTACAATTTGGGAAGGGTGTTAAACATATGGAAGCGGTTGTTTGAGAAAAATATCTATATCAATGTGAAAGTGTGGTGTATTTTGAATTCTACTTGGGAACATTACTGCCACAGTTAGGCTTTGTAAGACCCCAAAAGACCGTGCTAGATAAAAAAACAGTCAAATCTGGTGCCACTCCCCGGGAGAAGGAACTCCAATATGAAAAACAAAAAAAATGGAACTCTTGTCGCAAGCCAATCTGGACGTATCTCACGCTTTATTTGTCTCTTTGAACTGGTCTGCACCAAGATCCGGCTTCACTTCGCTGCTATATTTCACGTGCAACTAAAAAATATTTCTTTCCAAAACACGAAGACAAAGCGACTTCTATCTTCGAGTTTGAGAAGACACGGGATCATTTATAATCATGGTCTGAATAAAGTTGCCAATAGATTTGGAATTCTAAATTATTTATTAGCATACAATAACAATAAAATAATCTCAAAGAATATCGGAAAGTCATATTTTCGACTGAATTTTGTTCACTGGACTCTCACTCCTGGCTCCTGGCTCCTGGCTCCTGGCTCCTGGCTCCTGACTCCCGATACGATGTTTCCGTATGGTGGCAACCGCTGCTTAAAAATGCGGGCTCCAGTTAATGTCAAAGATGGCGGGCGTTTGTAACCCGGGTTTGTAACATGTGAATTGAGCTACAACAATGGCAGACACAATTCTTTCAGTGGGTTAAAAATCGGCTTTCTACTTTTCGTATTGTTTCCTCCTTAAACAACTTGATTTGGATTTTGGTGCGTAAACTGATGGCTAAGGAATTTTGGTCGTACAGCGAGTCACGACGCTGAACTACGCTTAACTGGACATCGAAGGTGGCATGGGGAACAAATCAAAGCGTGCACAAACTAGCTGTTGAGACATCTAAGAGATACATAAATGGATTTTATTGACCGTTTATATTGTTTTTTAGGGCGAAATTGTTAAAGTAAGTAAAACTGTGAATTAAATCTTTGTATGCTGTTTTTACTTGAAAAGATCGCGTATATAGCTATCAAAATTCATCGTTAGAGTTTCTTGCACAACAATTTCAACGATTCTACCCTTATTAATGTTAAATCATTGTCTGATGAGTTTTTTTTGTTCGATTTCTCATCATTCAAAGGCAAACACACGAATATTGTGAGGGCCTGAATTTTGATGAAATATGCAAAAGTCGTTCAGTCACAAGAACAGTTTATGTCAACACATGGAAGAAAGTGAATTGCCCAAACTTTTTATGATCTTTTTCTCAACTTAAGTGATGGCTTTAAATACTCATGCAAAAGTTATAAAGATAAGCTGTTGCTCATCAGAGATATTTGGGAATAAAATACCCTAATTTTACGACTTACTCAAAACTTGGAAATGATGACCCAACTAAGGGGGCTCAGAGGGAGGAAATCGAATCGGCGACTTTAAACAGTTTAACGTGCTTAAAGTCTTATGAACTCAGATTATCTCTCAGTGCATTTCAGGGTGGCTTTTCTGTTTGTTGCACTGGCATCGTAAAGTTAGCTAATTAATAATGCATAAAACGGGCAAAATGGCGATTTTTACAGGGGGAGCCCGGATCTCCCAGGGAATTTAATATTTTGACCTGACATTCTGTCACATAAGTTAACTCCTGATACCTAACATTTGTGCCGAGTTTGAGCGAAATCGGTGATTTGAGCATTATCACCCCCTGCCTGGTTCTGCCTGGTCTTCTCATGGACACACTCTTAATGATCTTGAACTAATCCTAAATCAAGAGCTCCATGCAGTGGCTGAGTGGATGAAATCTAATAGACTAGCTCTAAGTATTTTGAAGACTAATTTTGTTCTTTTTCATTCTAAGAGACTTAAAACCATACAAGACATTAAATCTAAAAATTGATGGTGTGAACATCCAAGAAGTTTCCACGGTCAAATACTTAGGTGTCACTTTTGACTCAAACTAGGAAAAATCATGTTAATGAACTCTGCTTAAAACTATTGAAAACTGTAGGCATATTTTCCAAATTAAGGTACTATGTTAATGTTGATATACTTATTATGCTTTACTTTTCCCTTATGTACCCCTTTCTTACTTATGGTATTTAAGTTTGGGGTCTCACATACCCAACCTACCTAAGACCAGTAACTACTTTGCAAAAACGAGTCGTCAGAATGACTTTTTCCGACCCTAGATCTCATTCTGAGCCATTGCTGAAGCCTCACAGACTCCTAAAAATCTCTGATATAATTCATTTTGAAATTCTCTGTTTTGTTTATCAGTGGTACCATAAACTAAGCCCTTCTTGTTTTGTAAATTATTTTAACCCAGTATTCATTCACATAATACACGTCAATCACAGATTGATAATCTGTTTGTTAAATCTGTCCATACCACTCAATACGGCATTCGTTCGTTCAGTTACACTGGTCCTAAACTTTGGAATTCTTTATCTATTGATGTTAAGAAAATCAAGCCGTTTTCCAGTTTTCGTCAATATATCAAGAATTCTGTGATTGATGGTTATAATACTATCATTGATTCCTAATGTTTTACGATTATATTATCTTAACTACTATTTAATTAATGAAGTAATACTTTTTATCTAAAATAACTATTTTGTATCTATATTCCTTCTACTCATATTCTTGTTTGGGTCACCTACTCGGTTAGTTCCACGAACTATTTAGGTGTCCCAAAATCTGCACGATGAACCTACAATTGAAATCCTCTTTCCCTTCACAATCTCTCGATTTTATATTTTAAAGCACTAATATGTATTAATTATAATTATTCGTGTGAGTTTAAATAAAAATTGACTTGACTTGATAGTTTCAATTTTTGTTCACAAAAGAACAAGATCTTCCTATAGATTTTACCAGAAGGGAACGAAAAAGACCGCATTCAAGTCGTTTGTAATGCTAGAGTCAGGGATGTCGATAGCCAATCGTATTGGAGAATTTTGTTGCCCCACCAGGGTTCCGGCCCTGAGGAGGCACCTTAACTTCCCCCGCGTTGTTTTGGTAATATAAGAAATCTTCTCAATTCGAAGAAACTAGGCGAGCAAGGTGGTCCCGGTTAATGTTTCAGCAGCATTAGATTCCATCTTCCATCTTCTTTTAACTAAACTTACATGAAATTTTTAAGTCTCTTCAAAATTCTATTCTTCTAATCTTTTTTTAAGTCAAAAACCCTTCGTTTTTTTAGAGAAAATAAAGAGATTGAACGTGGCATCAGCAGGATTCGAACCCGCGCTCCTTGAAACCGAAATCACTACACCACAGTGGATTCGACTTCAAGTTATGTTTTCATTTTTGCTAACGAGCAGCCTCGCGCGAAGACGCGAGGCTGCGAGGCGGCAGCCTAATAGAGCCGTGCGCGATTGTTCCAGGAGCAGAAAAAATCTCGAATCGATGTAAGATAGAGTAATGTAAGACAACCATGACGTAATGCTGGACAGAGAATGCATTGTTTTCGAGCGAACTCGTGATACAGATCAGAGAATCCACGAGCCGTGTGCGTGTTTGTGAGTCCCGTGCTCATCCCGTCTTCAACCAATCGTCGGGTGCATCATTTCCCCCATACGCAATATTTGTCGCATTTGCCCGGCCCGCTGAAAGTTTTTCATTGCATGTCTATGAAGCAAAATAATTCTGATGGCTTCATTGGCGCATGCACCATAATTTTTTTTAGCTTTACAAAGAAACCAGATATGTCTGTACGTTGAATATTCGCAGACTTTAATATGATTTTTCGAGGATTTTAAGTTTGCTTATAAGACCACTAAATTTTACTCAAAATGACTTGTGCGCAAGTTCGGACAAAAACACGAACCTCAATATCTCGAGAAATCTGCTGCGTAAAGTCGGGATTTCAAATTCTTTTTGCAGTAGAACAGTACAGTTTAGTTCACTCTTTTCAAAAGACAAATTAAAGCAATGAGCAAACATACACCATACTTCTTTTTAAATGCTTAAATGGTACGGGACCTACTTATATTGGAAGCCTTTTAAATACAGGCATACACCGTATAGGCTAAGAGGCGAGGGCTTGAATTTGGAATTACCTAACTTTAATCTTAAATTTAAGAAGAATTCTTTCACTTATTCATTAACTAAGTTATGGAACAGTTTGCCTTCTCAAGTGCGTCTTTCAAGTGATGCTAATGACTTCAGAAGTAGATTGCACGACCGCAGCTTTTTAGAACGTGTCTTATAGTGCACGATGGTAGATTTTAACTGTTTTTTTAGAACGAGTATTATCGTTTTCCTAGTCACGTTTTTTTAGTATGTGGCTTTTTAGTCAGTTTTAGCTTTTATATTTTATGTTTTTATTACCAAGTTTTTATATGTATATATTTGTTGAGTTGTTTTTAAAATTAAAAATATTATAACAGAGCCGTAATTATCATAGATTTTATTTATACACGTTCGTATTTTGAACGAGTTTTTTAGCTCTTTGACGTAACGTGTTAAAATAAATGATTGATTGATTGATTGATTGATTGTCTGTGGCTGTCACTGCCCGCGTGATATGGCTGTGCACATGCGTGAGGTATCGGTCCGGCCGTGGGTTGGTGTATGTGTGCCCTTTGCTTTAAGTTTGCACTATTTTCAATGCAGTCGAAGTAAGTTCAATCTATTTTTTATCAATTACTGTATTTCATGACATTTCTTAACAAATTCAACAGCGCGCGCGTATAGGTAAAATCTTTGCACGTTGGCACTTAGCAATAGCTATAACTAGTATATATTTATAGTGACAAACCTAACAGTAAATGAAAGCTAACCATTTCGAGTCAGTGCTTAGCCCTAATCACTATTGTAAATGCTTAACCCAAATCACTATGTTCAGTGCTTAACCGTAATCACTGCAACGTTTTTCGCGAAGTTTTAACATGTCACAACCTAAGAGCATAGAAATAAAGAGATTACGTATTGAACGTTAAAAGACATACTTCAAAATAAACGTCATGTCTAAGGCGGGGCAGATGTAGTGAGAACTATTGCTAGTTTTAGATCTGATTAGCTAGGTTGAAGCAGTCAGGTATCTTTGATTGTGAAATGAAAATAATTGTCTCATTACCTCTTTTGTTGTCTTTGGAAACCATTGCTCAATACCATTAACTTTTACTGCCTCTTGAGTGACTGTACAGAACATTTGATCACCTGGATAGACGTCAACGAGGTCTAAACAGGTATCTTGTTTGCAGCACAATTTTCCACATTTTGTACACTCTTGACCTTCTACCACGCACGATGGACAGGCAACACAAAGGCTATACTGTAGGCCGTGCAAATAACGGAATTCATCGGCCAAAACCTCTAAAGTGTTTTCCAGGAACTCTCGCACTTGCGTGGCCATTTCATTTGAACTATCATCAGGAAACTGCTGAGCTTCCCCTTCTTTCTTCAGAACAATCTTAATAAACCGTTTCTTACAGACAAGTTTTAAGCGGTGGGCAGTTACATCTCGTCTAATGATGAAGAAAGCTCCATTTTGGGACAATTTTATATCATCTTTCCCACGATTTTTTCGAAGACGTTTAGACGTGTTTTTGTGAATTTCCATTCCTGAAATCCAACTGATTGAGCGACAAACAATTTGAGCGAAAACTCCATGGGGAACAAATCCAGTGTCAAAGTCGATGTACAACGGACAGGGATCAGAACTTGAAGGTACAACGTTCGGGAGGGACCCAATACCCACTCTCATTTGTGCTGGAACATAGTACTTTTCACCACTTGAAGTAGAAAACTTTGAGATCAAACCAAAATGTTCCATCAAGCTTAAAATGTCCTTCTTGACAACGCTCGAAACGTTCAGAGGGCGAAATACATGATCAACCAACACCGTGCTGAGGATACCAGTATTTTGCAAGTTCTTCCATTCGTTTTTAGGAACTGGATCCTAAATGAAACAATGACAGCAAAATATATTATCTAATTGTTATGTAAGACATTAATCATGGAATGTAAGGGCTTTGCAGGTGAAGGGGGTGGTGATTAGCTGAGTGAATGCCACCTCCCAACTAAAATTCACGATTTCGATCCAAAACATCTTATTTATTTATTTATTCATTTATTTATTTTACATTTGCCACAGAAAATGAATATTACAGAAAGAAAAAGGAAAAATATATATCTTACTAAGATTGCAAATTTATAGGGCAGGAAAAGTTACAAAAATAGTCCAAAATTAAATGTAATATTAAGTGACTTAACTTTTAATTTGTAATAGATAGAGTGGCGAGGAGGCCCAACAGAAGCTAAACAGCTTTTAGAAATTGGACTCCTCATACTTAGTTATGATTTAATGTAAGCTGCTCTTTAATAGCTGTTTACTTGTTACTTGAGCAAATATTAAAGGTAATTACAAGTAAAAACATCTAGCATTTTTTCGGGACAAAAAAGAACAACACTTTCTTAAATTCTCTTTCTCGTTTTTTCAAGAGGAAATAATCACATGAAATGGCATTACATTTCGCTGGAAGACACACGGTGGTTATTGAATAAAGGCAAGGATGTTCCACAGGCCATATTTTGAGTTACCACGATTTCTTGCCCACGGTCTCTGTACAACGCGGACCGGATACCCGCTGATGGCGGATGCGGATAACCAAAAAAATGAACATCACTAATTTTACTAAAAAATTGTAAAAGAACGAAATTCCTTAAATTAAAAAAAAGGGAAAAAACAAAACCCAAAGATAGGGTGGACTGCGCGAAAAAATCGGCGCGCATTGGTTCGCCTATTTCGCGCTTGCCTCGTTATTCGCTCCGTTTTCCCACAATGGAGCCTGGTCTTAAGCTCTCAGTGCAAATCAACGCTTCTGAATCAGAGGTTTTCTTGTTTTCTTTTTTTTTTCTTTCGAGCAGGTAGATTTATAAATTGCATTGAGAAATCTTTGTTCTGTAGCCGTTTCCCGGGATGGAGGCAACTTCCAAACTGGCCTTGACGAGTATGTGTTTTTCTGGCACCAATCAGAAGCCAGAACGGCGGCGACCGTTTGGAACTGGTCTGATAAGACATTGTCCCCAGGGGCTCTTCTCGCCGTTCTTTACTTTTCTTTGTTCCCTATATATTTTCCCGCCCGTTTAGACTTTCCCTCGCCCCCTTTACCTGTCCCTGGGTCTCCGAGGATGGACGACATTGCTTTTGACGGTGAAACTGCTTTTCGCCATACAATTGTTTGAAGCGACCCGCAATGCATGTTTGCCCCCCTGGCGATCCCAGAATACCATGCACATAACATAGGTCTGCGATTACTGGAAAATGGTTCATTTAACTCAAATTCGATCCTTTGCTAAGTCGACGTAAAGTGCCGTCTAATTTAGACGACGAATAGGCCATTTGCTAGACTACGAGTAGTCCCCCATTTTTCCTCAGGGATAGTACAGCGAGCGAAACGCGAGCGCGCGTGAAATCACCCCACGCGAGAAAAGGCGACACGCGATTTTTCTCTCTTCCCGCCGCGTGTCGCCTTTTCTCGCGTAGGGTGATTTTAACGCACGCTCGCGTTTCACTCGCTCTACTATCCCTGAGGAAAATGGGGGACTACTCGTAGTCTCAGTTATTTGCCGATGACATCATTTTACTACTACGACCAGAATCCTTAAGGGCTTTCCTTTCTTGTCACGGATTTTGTCATTTTAATCTCGCGGGATTACCAAATTGAAATATCACAGGAAAAACGAAAAGAATTCTGGTCTCGGTAGTAAAATGACGCCATCGTGCAAATGGCCCATTTAATCTGTCTTGTTGACGAATTTAATCTGAATACACAGGCGGTCCAACAGAACTGTTGGAGGCATCGTGGTGTCACGCGCGATATGTGATCCCAAACATCTAGGGCCAGTTATTTAAACAGAGTTTAGCCAGTGTTTAACAAAACTGCGTTCGAAGCCCTTTTCTGTTTGCCTAATGCTTATCTTTACACCATTTACCGTGAAAGGTTTCATGAAAGCATAAGGCGTACGCTGGAAAAGCACTTATTTTCTTAAAATTACCCGCTAAGGAAGATATCTGGAGGTACAAAGATTTGCTAAACCGCGGCCTAAGTTAGACTTGGTTTAAATTACCGACACTTAAAATTTATTTCGTAAAGCTAGCGCGCTCTCGGCTTGATTGAAGTGATCGGGAGAATGCTCAATGAATGCTTCATAAAACAAAGAGGTTTGCACCTTTTAATCCCAAATGTCAATGTAAGGCAGGTAAGAAAGATGAACAAAGATAACTTACCATACGTTTTTTAATTTAGGGTCACCTTCTGCATTTTTGTGGAGTTTTGAGTCGCTTGAAACTGACAACCCCCACTAATACATAATAAAACGACGTCGATTTATTATGTTTCAGTCAAGGTTTCAGTGCCTCGAACAGCTCGGATGGTCCCCTTTTGCTGACGTCGGTGCTTTTATACCACTGAACTAAGCAGGAGGATCCGAGCCGACTCGAGAAAAAAAATAGTCACAGAGCTGCCGTTACAATATAGGCTCGAAAACAAAATGTTCCTCCACGGAAACGCCTTGTTTACTACACGCAGAATAACAATAAAAATGGCGCTAAATCGACATTCTCGTCCCCAGAACAGGCTCTGGAATCAGTAGTGTAGCAGCTGCTCTTAAGGTCTCTCGTAATTGGTCGCAGGAAACAATGAGATGTCATCCTTTTAATTGTTTTAGTATTGTTTGGGGTCAGTAAAACGCACCCATGACCTTCTGGAATGGGAGCCCGTTGAACTTGTGCCTATGCGCAGTGAAGGAAACTGGCACCACCTCAGCCTACCCTCTCAGTTTCCTACGCTATAACAAATTAATACACATTAACATTGCATTTAATTCGATGCGTCGTTTGTACAATGTCTAAAATGAGACATTCTACAGACGTTTTAAATTAATCTCATACTTCGCAGCATCGTCGAAGAAATAACTGCTTTAAAAGGCGTGAATTTAATTCGTCTGAATTAATCCGACGTATAAACCAGGTTTAAGTGTCAATAATAATGGAATAATTGAAAAGATTTACGACAACAAATGAGACAGGTTTACCCCAGCGGAAGATATGTTTTATTAGACGTTATTGTGTTGAACATCTAAACGACCGGAGTAGATCCATCTCACCCCCATTCCCCCACCCCAACCTAACCCCGTTATCTGAACCTGATAAGTAATGGTAACTGGACTGAGTGGAGTCCAATTCGGTCTGTAATCATACGAGTGATTAACAAAATCGGACGACCGCGTAGCGGGAGTCCGATTTGTTTAATCACGAGTATGATTACAGACCGAATTGGACGACACGAAGTTCTGTTACCAATTAATCATAACTTTAACAAAATTTGTGATATAATAGGCTATTTTTTAAATCTATTAAGGCTATTTTTTGCTAGCATTGAAAAAAAAAAGCCATTTAAGCGCGCGCGTGATGGCGCGTACTGTCCAATTACTTAGGCATGACGCGTACTGTCCTATCAAACTGTCCAATTAAGGCTGAAATCAGGGCAGTTGATAGCCAATCAGATTTGAGAATTTTGTTATAGTTATGATTAGTTTGGTAAGAGAACAAAACATGCTTTTCATTTGTTACTATAATTGAGTATATTTACTTACCATTCCTTTTAAGTTTGGAATGGTAATCAGCTTCCTGAACACGTCAATCAACCAATGGGCGTTCACAACGACTGTGTTGGTGTGCTTCACAATTATTCCCAAGTCATGGTAAAAATTCATCATGAGGTTGAACTCGTCTTCGTCAGTTACAAAGCACTTGTCCCTGGCAATGGCTTGAATTTGTTCAACTTCCAAATAGTGTACATTTCGCTCTTTCAAAGCACTGATGACCTTCTCAAAGTTAAGCCACCTAGATTATAATTACATGACTTTTATTAGGTACATTACTGACAGTAGATTTGGACTCACAGAAATATTTAAAACAGCAAGACTGAACTGCCGGCACCTATAGTAATCAATGCAACTGTCAAAGCCCTTATACCATTATAATGCAAACGTATTTCTTTGACTAAGCCTATAACGCTCAAATGGGGTCAGTTCTTCACATATATAGTTTTAATTTTCTCACGAATGACTGTTCCAGGGATACCATTGCACCTGACTCGTTCCCAGTCGTCCCCCATTATCTAAGAGAGAAGCGCGAGAGAAGAGGAGCCGATTATCATTATAAGATAGATTCGGCCAAGGTAAAACAGTACTCGCAAATTCTCTACGTTTATGGTATGATCCACCTAGAGAAACGTAAACAGTGGTTACATTTTATCTTGAAAACACCTCAATTTAGGAAAGTGTGCAAACTCACCGAATGGGTCTTACTTCCCCATGTAAGGCTCTTTATTTAACACTTCAACCATGCGATTCTTAAGCTCGACAAACCTCTCATCAGACGATCCCTTTCATTATCAACTGAGAAGCAATCAATCACGTGATTTTTAATGACTTTTCCAGGTTTGAAATTTCTTTATCAATCTGAGATAACATTTCATCGACGTTTTCACATGGTGTGTCAGCATGTGTTCCCACGATAAACACAGGGGGGCGATAGTATGGATCGTTTCTCGCTTTTTCCTCATCCATTTCTTCTGATGAACGCAAGGAGCAGATTGATACTAGCCACGATAACAAATTTTCGATATTTGTTTCTTGATTGGGGTTTTTGAGTTTAATGTCTTGATCACCTTGTCTGACACAGGGCTGGGCAATCTCCTTTAAACCTTTGTTTAGATTGTAGACCAGCATGTATACTGCACGCTGTGATAGAAACGTTGGATGCGAAGCATAGTAAAGATCTTGTCCGGCAAAGTCCCACAAATCCAAAGTAATGTGACTTTCCCCCGTGTTAGCATCGGTTAACAGATCTAAATCCTTCAAATACTGCTCAAGAAGGGACATGAACTCATCTGGAGGCACAGCAGGGTCAAACAGTAATTCGGGAATTTCGGGCTTTTTACGTGCACTTTTATCGCCACCACTCTCGAGAGTTTCTTTAGTCTTCACGGTTTCTGCCTCCATATCAGGGCCCTTACAAACAAGAGATATCCGTTAACGTAAATTGCAACAAGTACCAAAGATAAAATAAGACCCCTGCGCCTCTTTTGAAAGCCAGAATAGCATTCGTCAAAAAATAAATATGAAAATAGGTACCGTATTACTGCAACTGGAAATTTGGGTTAAAATGAACCTAACTTTGGTCTTCTTTTTCTTTTTCTTTCTTTCTTTCGTTTTTTTTTTTTTTGTGGGGGGAGGGAATGGGCCCTCAAAACGGATCTAATACTACCAAACAATGTTGGACGACGTCGGACCAACATCCTTCCCTCAAAGGTTTTTCCTGATTTGTTAAAAACGGTCTAAGCCAGCACCTTTTCTTTTCGTGCCTGACTATTATCCCTGAGACACATTTCGGTACACTTCGATGATAATCGTTTGCAAAGGTTATGAAATGGGAATAAGCCATTTTTTAATCAATGTGAGGTTTTCCCACCCTTTTTTTTTTTTTGCAAAAATCTATAAATCGTTGTTAATCATTTGTTGTAAAGCCATTATTCTTTTCACTGAGTAATGACAGGTGTGACTGCCTGTTAACAGTAGATAGTTCAACCTCGTCTGGGGACGAGGTTGTAGATAGTTTCCTGTGTAGGCTGTTCCAGGCGTTCAGAAAGTAGAGCGCGGGAGAAAATTTCACGAAGAAAAAAAAAACGAGGGGAGACTTAACGCCGCGCTCTACTATCTGAACGCCTGGAACAGGCTATTTCCTGTGCGGATAAATTTTTTCAACACAAAAAATGTCACCATACAAGTTTTGGTTTAGATGTGTCAAAGACAATTCCAAATTTGTCTGCTAGAGCGCATAGGCCTTTACTTAGTTTCTTAAACTCTTTCCCATAAAACTGAATTTTCGTTAAAATCATAGGGAACCTCTTATTAGTAAGCTGCGAATGGAAATTAAATAAGAGATAAAATCTTAACTGTTTTGTTTTATCCTCGAATCTGTTGTGGTGCCAAGTGAAATGGAAGTTGTTTTACGATGCAAAAAGATGTTCAGTTCGACGCTTCGGGTTGATTTCACAATGCTTTATGTGGCCCTTATTTGGATGTATATGCAATCTAACTTGAAACAATCTCAGAACCAAGCAGAAAAGCTCAAGAAACTTTCAGACGTCAAACGCAAAGTCAACTTCCGGTTCAGTCAAGTGGAGGCGTTCATAAATGACCATTTTTAATACGAAGATTTTTATTTTAAATAGAAAAAAGTGGCCCACCGTACATTTTATCCCTTAAACTGTTGTTGGAATGAATTTCGTGAAAAAAACCGCCCGTAAAACTTGAGTACGGCTTGAAAATAAATCGGTCATCAAATTAGTTTCGTCCCTTGTCTCTTTTCTCTTACTCTAATTCAAACTGTTAATAAATTAACAATCAACGAAGAAACGCGAGACGATAATAACAACCGGCGCTTGACACCAACAGTGAAATGCGAGCCAAACCACATAGAGCATTGTGAAATCAACAACTGTCAAAGCGTGCGAATTTAACATCGTTTTCGCATCGTAAAACAACTTCCATTTCACTTCGCACCACAGCAGATTCGAGGATAAAACAGGTAAGATTTTATCTCTTATTTAATTTCCATTTGCAGTTTACTAATAAGAGCGTGGGTTCCCTATGTGGTCCTATGTTAAAATCCCAAATGGCGGACATTTTAGTGACGTCATAGGTACCCAGCAGCGCCAAACATGTATATAATAAAACTTGCATCATCTTCTAGAGGTCATCACAGGCTGTCCTGTCTGTGAAACGTTAATTTTTCATATTTTAATTTTCATTAACATATTGAAAAATTTAAAGTAGCAAAAATCCAAAGGTGGGTTATCAACCCCAAGCCCTCTTCGTGGGTGAGTTAGCGTGGAGTGATGAATTTCCCTTTATACCCACTGATATGCACACATTTCGTTCTACAGACCTCATCTTTTGGCACATCCCGTAGATGGTGTTTTGTGTCTTCCTCTTCTTCTTCTTCTTCTTTTTCTTCTTCTTCTTCTTCTTCTTCTTCTTCTTCTTCTTCTTCTTCTTCTTCTTCTTCTCCTTCTCCTTGTTCTTCTTGTTCTTCTTCTTTTTTCAATTGTACAGCCGCTTTTTTTGCGAGAACGTTTAAGTGCTGAGATAAACCAAACGTTTCATCAGTAACTCTCCAGTTCTTCACTTGATCGCCTTCATATTCAAATTCCAAACAGTCAACGTCAATTCCATCGGTACTACACTGAGTTGGACTAAATGGCAGACCTTGGAAGGACTTCTTCAAACTCGTCTTTCCCGCTCGATCCTGACCAACAAACATGATTCGACCGCGGTACACCTTTACTTCACCATTTTTCAAAGCATTCTCGAATGCACGAACGGCCCTGGGTCCTTGTGCTGTAATCTCACTTGGAATTTGACTCTAGTGAATAGATTCAATAGAAAACTCATTTTCAGTTTATATCATACTTTAGCTTGTTAAGCTGTTTTCAATATTATACCAGGAGCCCATGGGCTCCTGATTATACTTATTCAATTGTGACCTCTGACAACGCCGTGCTTTAATCTCACTTGGAATTTGACTTTAGCGAATAGATTAAGTTCAAACAGAAAAATCATTTTCAGTTCACATTATATTAGCTTTTTAAGCTGTTTGAATTATTATGCTTATTCAACTGTGATCTCTGACAACGCCGTTCCCAAGGCCGTAGTTACTAAACCGAGGAACCAAACTAGGTCTAGTATAGGCTAAGGGTTCCGGGATCCCAGCTGAACATCCCAAACCAAAAATTCCTAAAGGGGGGGGGGGGGGGGGTACTACCATATATGGGCTATATAGCTATGTGCCGCTGTGAAGGGTATGGTTTTCAAGCAGTTTACTCTAGGATAGGGTATATAAATCAGAGCATTTGAGTCTAGAATAGGGTATCATTTTTCAGGAAACTGATCAGTTGGTTGAAGATTTTATCTAGACTAGGTCAACAGCTACTCTAGGATGGGGGGAATTGGGGAGTTTACTCTAGTATAGGGTAGCAAAATTCAGCTGAACTAGCTCTGGTATAGGTTAAGGGTTCCAGGGTCCCAGCGGCACATCCCCACCCAGAACACGTCCTAAAGTACCCCCCAGGCTCAGAACGACCCCAAACGACTTAAAACAAGTCCGCCCTCCTAGGAACGTCGGGGTAAGATTGATTTCAACATCTAAACTTTTAAGAACAGGAGCGAAGGATGACCTGTATGATCTTTTAGGAAATAAAGTGCTGACAGGCCTAACCACGACTCATAAGCTCGTTATAGTGTGAAGCGTGACCTTAGAGTTTACCTAGCTGAAAGCGAACAGAGGTTTTCCTAAATCTTTATTTTTCCTATCGGGTAGATTATAAGGTGCATGAAGATTCTAAACTTTGACTTGCCGCTACTCTTACTACAGAAGTCAAGTAGCTGGTCTGTTTCAGGTATATTGATTAACTATTTCTTGTGAAAATTTACGGCAAGTGACTGTTAGCACTATAAAACAGAGGCTGATAGTGGAGCGAGAACTATCTCCTTTTCTCATGATCCTATGGTAACTGAAAGTTGTTGGATTACTGTGTATGACGTTTTAAAAGAGAGATCGAATTAAAGAAACACTCTCTGTTCAATTCACGGACTGCGTTTAGCTGTGCGTTCGGAGCGTAAAAGTGGAAGCAGTCGATAAAGGTTGTCATTAACGCATCACCGGTACACCAAACGTGCTGTGTAGGGAAGAGGGGCCTCTATTCCCAACTAAGCCGTTGAAAACATGATAAGCTCACGTAGATACCAGGGTAACCACGTTAAGATCGGAGGAGAAATAACAGCCCGTGACCATAGCAGAATGACATAGAAAGCAGATAAAGAAATGAGAGCTGGCTGTCGATATTACACGGTTATTGTTCCGTGATTCAAAATGCTTTCAATCCGGGAAGCTTCATAATGTTTTTTGGTTTTCGCAGGAATCGTCAAACGAACATCTCTTTGTTCAAAGGCATAAAAACATGTTGAAGTGGTAAAAGATTTAGCAGTTATTCTAACAAAAGGAAATTCTTTTTCGTATTGTAAACGCTTATACCAGCGTTCAACAGATGACTTCATCTCGGATAAATGACAGGCGGTAGTAGTATAGGAGGGACCGAATTAACCTCTTTTTTGGGGGGAATCTCATTAAGGTGGGGAGGAATACATTAACTAGGTGACGTCATAGGCTATTTTCTTGATCTCATGAATAAAATTCTGTGGTATCTCATTAACTTGCGGTGGAATCTCATTAAGTATATCCAGTTTGACGGGTTTATCAATGATGTCATGTTCTATATTTATCTTGTGGCGGTCATGGTTGGTATAACCGGTTTGACAGGTTTTAGTTATTTTCGGAAGATGATGTCATATGTATTCCGGGGTACTATGATGTCATAGTTGTTTTGATAGGTTGACCGGAATTAGAAAGACGCTCATTGGCTGTCCCGTTTGACGAAGCATTCTGGTTGGTTGCCGTATTTTTTATTGTTTGAACGGCATAAAAGCCTGCTCACTACCTTCCCGCATACTAATTTGGATTTCCCGCATACTAATTAAGTGTCTTCCTCCATATATAATGAAGTGGATAGGAAGTTACGGATGTTTGTACATAGGAAATTAGTTTGTAAATAAATCATTGGTCGAATTTAGTCGTGGCTTGTTTCCTGACTCGACGCGCACGGCTTACACGCCAGAGCTCCACGCGCGCCCAGGGGAAAAAACACAGGGCTAAAAAGGTGCCCTTTCTGCCCTTTATGCCCGATCTGCCCTTGAAATAAAAGCGGGCTCTCCGTTCAGCATTTTATTATTGTCACAAACTCCAGTAAATAATATTTTTGACAAATTTAACAATTACTGCGCTTTTCACAAAAACGCGAACTCTGAAATTCAAAAGCCGCCTACACTATTGCGTTTTTCGCTGCCGTCAATCATAATTACTATCACAAGCAATGAACCTTGAAACACAGAAACACACAAAACGGATCGAAATCCACCAATCATAGATCACAAACCTTGACCTTTTGAACCCGTTTAAGCAAAGTTCTGTCTCCTAAGAGGCCCGTTAAGATGATTGACGGCAGGGAAAAACGCAAATGTCAGTTGGTTTTTGAACTTCAGACTTCGCGTGGTTATGAAAAGCGCAGTAATGAATGAGGCCAATTATCTTATGGAGAATTATGGAGATCGAGCAGGGTGTTATCCGTCGAGGATAACACCCTTCCCGATCTCCATAATTCTTCATATGATACGAAAGCCGAATTCAATAATTGTTTTATTATTCATTCAAAATAATTCCCAGTTTAAAAACATGGGTAAAACATGCTTACCTCCATCGATCCATCGATGTTAAGTTCATTTTCGATAGTGCACGTTTAGGGTTGTTCAGCTCCGCAAATATTCTCAAAACAGCAAATGTGGCCCTTCGAGTTGTCTTCTTGCTGTTCTTGTCATGTTTTTAGCTATAATTTCGCCTAGTTCTTACTCTTGAAATGAGTGAAACCTCCGCCATTTTTGTTTTGACAACCAAAACAACTCAACCTCGTCCCCAGGTCTTCTCGGTTAACGGTGCATTAACCTGCAAGAAAGCTGCACTTTTGACGTTATCGGTTCGTTAAACGCAAAATTCTTCCAAATTTGGTCATCAGTACCTGGTTGTGGTGAATTATGCGTGTGCTTTTAGCCAATCAGAATTGGAGAAATATTTTGAATGAATAATAATAAGCCATTTCCGAGTTCCCCCGGGTCTCTGTTTCAAAACGAGGGAGGGCGCTCAGCCTTTGATATGGAAGTCATTTTTCATTCTCATGCAAATAAACCTCATTTTCACAAGACAGGTTATGCAACCAGCCTCATTTTGAAAGTGAGGGTTTTTGGAACTTGGAAGTGGCCTATTGTATTTAATGACTCTTATAATTATTTTTAATCCATGTTTTTTATGGTTATCGAGACAGTGTCCAGTCACCTTGGACCTCTCTTAACGAAGATTCCTGGAGTTACCCCTGTAGACTGGAGGCTCGCGGGAGCCTGGGGAAAGGAGAAATACGTTCTCATCAAAGACCCTGTCTAGAGTTTTTGAATGATGAGTGTTGTTGAAATGTTCCTTCCCTTTTATGCGGTTATTCATCGGCGAACAGGACTTTACATAATGGCTAAAGAATCTGGCTAAATTGAGTGACAACACGCCTACTTTTTACAGTACTCACCAAAGAAGGCCTTGCATCAATGCAGAACTTATCTGCTAAATCCCGGTGATTTACACGTGGCTGGCATAAGGCATCATGCAAGACCTGGTAGGTTGCACCGGAGCCTTTTCTTGATTTCCATTCGATCAACATCAAGTAAACCTTTTCATTAACATTTTCCTTCTCTTTATCGAATGCCTCTATTTCTGCTTCCATAAAATGAAGTCGTCGAGCTAGGGATCTCCAGTTTTCAATTTTGAATGACAACAATTTTAACTCGTCGTTAACCACTACACCATGTTTGATTCTTTGTACACCTAAAAAACAAAAACAAAGATAAATAGTCTCGTTCCTCCTTTAGTCTTTTCATCCATCTATCCATTTTACAGGTGTTTCGAATTGAACCATATTCCTATGTTTTTAGTGTTGTTGAAGTTAATTTTCCCCTCTCCGTTTTCACCCATTTTGTGGTGATTTTTTTTTATGCCTTGTTTTTCCTGTCAGAAATTTCACCTTTGATTGGCAATGCATCCTTTGCGGCTAAATAGCATGGGGATGTGGACAAATTAAGTACCTCAGAAACAAAACGCGATTACATCATTTAAAAAGCTAATTTCCTTTTCGTTTAAAGTTGATGTTACACGAGACGATTCGCGACGACGATTTTTACCCGGCGCAATACAGCGTTGCAATGTTGGAACAATGTCGTAGCAATTCGAAAAACCGTCGCAACAATTTTGCAACATTGTGTTGCACTAAAAATCCTGGCTTCAAATCGTCTCGTGTAACATCACTTAAGATCCCACTGCACTGTTTGCACTCCAGCGAGGCGTTCTGGTACCCTCGGACGTACATGTACAAGGAGGGCTGGGAGGGGGAGGTAATGCATCCACACAAGAAGAGGGTTTACCCTCTTTTTCGTAAAACTTTAATAGCTTTTATATCTATATATAGTTTTTTAGCTGGCATCAATTTTCTTTAGTAGCTGCTCACTTATTTTGTACAAACTTCGTCTTAGCCGTTTGTTACTGTTGAAAAAAATAGAACGTTAGTCGCCAGCTCCTTTGAAGCTAACTCAGAGCAACTCTGAGTTATCAAAGAGCAGCTCAGAGCAACAACGAGTAAACAGTGAGTACTTTTGAGCTCTGTGAAAAGCTCATGACCAGTCAATTGTATTCAGTTGAGTGCGGAGTTAATGTTGTGGTTAGTCAAGTGTGGGTGGCTTGTGTAGACTCTGGGTTGATGTGACAATTACTTATCCCTTGAATGCAGGCAAAGGTTCACAATACATGCTTAACCCCACACGCTAGCGACTTTGTAGAAAAACAACATTGTTTTCTGTGACCAATTAGGAGAGACCTTCCGAGCTGCTCCTACACTACCCGGAAGAGTTACTGCCTTTCCGAAGACATTCCGACCTTGACACGCAACCACGCACGATTTCCACGCCATCTGATCACGTGACACCCCTCCACGCGCGATCCCACGTGCCACGGGCTCACTCACTCAGGTTCAACTGCCCTCGAACGAACGACCCTAATCTGCATAAGAAACGATTCTCATTTGCACAGAAAATTTGGCTACCGCCTGTATATCCTACTAACATCCTTTAATTTCCGCGCACTTTTCATTTTAAAACAGCTTCGCGTTTCGACTTTCGAGCCACGTTTGCAATGGGATCAATAGTGAGATCAACTTTTCTTTTCACGACTGTGGAAATGGAAGACAACAAATGCAGTCACCGCTCAGTCGAAAACCAAACCGGCCGGTAGAAGGAAAAGAAGAAAGACACTTCGGCGGCAAAGGGCTTCTACTGAGCCAACAATTAACATAGAGAGAGGATATAATTTTAACCACGATACAACATCGGCAAATAATTTATGATTTTAATTTTATGTAGGCTGACTCTACTACTGTGAGAAAACATGAAGCGCTCCACTTAGCTAAAATGAATGGTGGAAACGTTCTTTTTCATTTGTTGTTATTGTCAAATACCTATCGAAAATGTCTTTTTAAAAAGACATTTCTTTCCGCTGCTTCCTAAATATTCTTATGTTGTGTCGTTGTTCGTTGAGATTCCTTTTCACCCTTCACTTTCTCCGCTGTTTTGAACTTGGCCATGGACAAAAATCAAAACAACAAGAAAAGAACGCTGCATCGAGTCGCTAACTAAAAACAATCCCGATTATTCATTCGCCAGCCATGGAAATTCCCGCGAAAAACACTATAGGGCTACCAATCAAATGAATAACTTTTACTTCCGCTACAAACGAAAAACCGTGATTTCTCCGCCAATACTTACTATTTTCCACTTTTACATGTGTAAAGGTCACACTAAAACCATTACTATAACGAGCCAAAAATCAACATTTTAATAAAATTTTTCATCTGAAGTTATCCGGTTAACATTCAGAACTTTTGAAAGAAATCGCATGGTACAAATTAAAAAGAGAAAAAAAGAAAAAGCGCGTAAAAATAAATAAAAAGAGGTTATCCTTAATGCAAGAAAAATTTCCTGACATTTTTTTTTTTTTTATCAGTTTATTTACGTGTTCTTCAAAACGCAAGTTAAAAAATTCTTCGTCTGAAAATATGCAATCTTTTGTCATGTTAATTTAACAACATAATTCTCAGCCTGATTCTCAGCTGGAACTTCCATCAAGCACAACAGAGTTAAATTCAAAATGTCCATTAACTTCTCAATCAACAATTGCTGCGAATACGCAATTGCTGGAAGACAATGGAAAGTTTACAATGATTATCATTAACCTTCTTATTCCCATCACTCTAACCGGTCGGTCCGAAAAAAAACCCGTTCGATCGAGATAAGCTTTAACACTTTCTTACTCATTTATATCCTCTCCTATCTGAGAAATTTTGAACAGTCGTCTTTCCCTTCTCGGTCGCGTTTGTGGGGAGGAGCGTTGCGTGACGACCCTAAAAACGGCTGTGTAGGAGACTAGTTTCTCCAATGCTAAGTCATGCATTATTAGGCAATTTCAAAACTAACTTATTATTGTGAAACATACATAGATATAGCCAAGTCATAATCTACTTGAAACAAAATTTAGATTTGTTTAATAATGTTAACTATCTGTAGTGTCCTGCAACCATGAATCCTCGTTGGACGCTGCTGGAGACAAGTTTAGCTTAGCCGTTTTGGAGAACTAGAGAAAATAGCAGAGAATTTAGAAAATTTTACACGTTTTTCAAAGAAATAGACGCACTACTGTCAATAAACATAGCAAGAACAGCAAAAATAACATGAAGATGACATGAAGAATATCTGCTAGACGCACAACATTCTTTTATAATCTGAATTTGCTGAGAAAAAAGCAAATGAAGACAGCAACTTTACAGCAATCGTGGTAAGCACGTTTCTAAAATACGAATTGTATTTTGAATGAACAATAAGTTTATTATTATGTAACAGGGATAAAAAAAACTAGGGCATAGACCAAACGTCGATTTTTTCATGAGACAAACCAAACTTGGTGACTTAAGTTTATGAAAATTTCGACCTCTGGCTCAGTTAAGTTCGTCCTGCTTCAGACATCTGAAGATTGTCTCCGAGACAAATGTCGATCTTCACATGCGACGAACTAAACTATAAATATATCAAAAATAGGCCATTTGCACGATGACGTCATTTTACCACTAAGAGCAGACTCCTTCAGGGCTTTGTTTCCTTGTGAAAATTAAGGCTTTTGTTCTTTACACCTCGCTGGGATGACCAAATTTAAATATGAAAGGAAAAACGAAAAGGATTCTGGTCGTAGTAATAAAATGACGCAATCGTGCAAATGGATAATTTTGTATGGTAATGTATATTTAGCCTCGTTCGGGAGAAAATTTATTACTGAACACCCGCTGGCCAGCTGATATTGCTTTTCAGTCTAATTCAATTTATTTCGACGCGTCCTAACCAACAAACGATCTACACTTATTTAGGTCGATCCAAATAAGAGTTTGGTTCATCTCATGAAAAGTTCGACGTTTGGCCTTGGCCTAAGCCTTTTGCTAGCATGTTCCAGCAGCGGATCGAGAAAGCTAGCACGGGAGGTGTTATTTTCTGACGTGCTTCGATTCTCGCGCAACCTCTTCCCCAGGGCGTTTTTCTAGGAAACAGGTAGAGGGGTCTGGGGATGAGATTAGTTTTCCCGACGTCCCTTACCTTCGTAACGTTAAAAATAATATATCAGTAGTTCCTCTAGCAACCTTTGTGGCTTGCCTGGTGTTAGGAAAGGGATCACCAAATACATGGTTCCCCTCCACTGAGCGAGGTTCAACTTTCACGTCTACGCGTGACCTTCCATAAATTGTGTCTATTTTATAAAAGCGCCTACGCACGTAAAAATTACGCGACAGTGGAAATTCACCTAAAGAGCCTGGAACAGGCAGGCGTTTGGTCAATTACCTCTATCCTCAATTTGAGAAAAGCTTCCACGCGATGAGGAAGGGCCGATCTGCAGCTGGAAGAGAACATAACTTCAAGAACTCAAAAATATTAACTAAGATTTTTTTTACAATTTCCTTACATACCTTTGAGGCCTGTTCCTCAGCGGAAACTGTAGATTAGTTTCGCTCCTACGGCGCAAAATCTATCCGGTTAGGTTCCGGTATAGCGTGAACAAAGCCCTCTACTGCCCTCTTTTCTAGTAATAAAATTCTAGATAGCCTTGAAGGATAATTTTTGACCGATAATCTTTAACTAAAAGTAATGGATGTATGGGTAAACAAGCACAATAATATAATGTTTTGGTCACTCATTTAGTTAAAAATCAGGGCCTTACTATAAACATGATTCCAATTTTTTTGTTTTAAAAATTTACTTTTTAGTGAGCTGAAACGAGGCTTTCAAGTTAGATTTTCATCAATTACAGTGCCCACAATAATCCATATTTTCATGGTTATTGAGATTGACTGCCTTGACGGCGTGTTCACTTTGGATCCTTCTTAACGAAAATTCCTGGATTTACCTCTGTAAACTGGAGGTTCGCGGGAGCCTGGGGTAAGTAGAAAAATGTTCCCATCAAAGAGCCTGTCTAGAGTTTCCGAATGATAAGTGTTGTTGAAATGTTCCTTCCCTTTTATGCGGTTATTCATTGGCGAACAGGACTTATATAACCAATGGCTAAAGAATCTGGCTAAATTGAGTGACAACACGGCTACTTAAAGTACTCACCAAAGAAGAGCTCGCAGCAATGCAGAACTTATATGCTAAATCATGGTGATTTACGTATGGATCACATAAGGCATTATACAAAACCCCGTAGGTTGCACAGTTGCCTTCTCTGTCTTTCCAGTGCATCAACATCGAGTAAACCTTTTCATTAACATTTTCCTTCTCTTGATCGAGTGCCTCTATTCTTGCTTGCCCAATATGAAGTCGTCGAGCTAGGGATCTCCAGTTTTCAATTTTGAATGACAACAATTTTAACTCGTCGTTAACCACTACACCATGTTTGATTCTTTGTACACCTAAAAAACAAAAACAAAGATAAATAGTCTCGTTCCTCCTTTAGTCTTTTCATCCATCTATCCATTTTACAGGTGTTTCGAATTGAACCATATTCCTATGTTTTTAGTGTTGTTGAAGTTAATTTTCCCCTCTCCGTTTTCACCCATTTTGTGGTGATTTTTTTTTATGCCTTGTTTTTCCTGTCAGAAATTTCACCTTTGATTGGCAATGCATCCTTTGCGGCTAAATAGCATGGGGATGTGGACAAATTAAGTACCTCAGAAACAAAACGCGATTACATCATTTAAAAAGCTAATTTCCTTTTCGTTTAAAAGTTGATGTTACACGAGACGATTCGCGACGACGATTTTACCCGGCGCAATACAGCGTTGCAATGTTGGAACAATGTCGTAGCAATTCGAAAAACCGTCGCAACAATTTTGCAACATTGTGTTGCACTAAAAATCTGGCTTCAAATCGTCTCGTGTAACATCACTTAAGATCCCACTGCACTGTTTGCACTCCAGCAAGGCGTTCTGGTACCCTCGGACGTACATGTACAAGGAGGGCTGGGAGGGGGAGGTAATGCATCCACACAAGAAGAGGGTTTACCCTCTTTTTTCGTAAAACTTTAATAGCTTTTATATCTATATATAGTTTTTTAGCTGGCATCAATTTTCTTTAGTAGCTGCTCACTTATTTTGTACAAACTTCGTCTTAGCCGTTTGTTACTGTTGAAAAAAATAGAACGTTAGTCGCCAGCTCCTTTGAAGCTAACTCAGAGCAACTCTGAGTTATCAAAGAGCAGCTCAGAGCAACAATGAGTAAACAGTGAGTACTTTTGAACTCTGTGAAAAGCTCATGACCAGTCAATTGTATTCAGTTGAGTGCGGAGTTAATGTTGTGGTTAGTCAAGTGTGGGTGGCTTGTGTAGACTCTGGGTTGATGTGACAATTACTTATCCCTTGAATGCAGGCAAAGGTTCTCAATACATGCTTAACCCCACACGCTAGCGACTTTGTAGAAAAACAACATTGTTTTCTGTGACCAATTAGGAGAGACCTTCCGAGCTGCTCCTACACTACTCGGAAGAGTTCCTGCCTTTCCCGAAGACATTCCGACCTTGACACGCAACCACGCACGATTTCCACGCCATCTGATCACGTGACACCCCTCCACGCGCGATCCCACGTGCCACGGGCTCACTCACTCAGGTTCAACTGCCCTCGAACGAACGACCCTAATCTGCATAAGAAACGATTCTCATTTGCACAGAAAATTTGGCTACCGCCTGTATATCCTACTAACATCCTTAATTTCCGCGCACTTTTCATTTTCAAACAGCTTCGCGTTTCGACTTTCGAGCCACGTTTGCAATGGGATCAATAGTGAGATCAACTTTTCTTTTCACGACTGTGGAAATGGAAGACCACAAATGCAGTCACCGCTCAGTCGAAAACCAAACCGGCCGGTAGAAGGAAAAGAAGAAAGACACTTCGGCGGCTAAGGGCTTCTACTGAGCCAACAATTAACATAGAGAGAGGATATAATTTTAACCACGATGCAACAACGGCAAATAATTTATGATTTTAATTTTATGTAGGCTGACTCTACTACTGTGAGAAAACATGAAGCGCTCCACTTAGCTAAAATGAATGGTGGAAACGTTCTTTTTCATTTGTTGTTATTGTCAAATACCTATCGAAAATGTCTTTTTAAAAAGACATTTCTTTCCGCTGCTTCCTAAATATTCTTACGTTGTGTCGTTGTTCGATGAGATTCCTTTTCACCCTTCACTTTCTCCGCTGTTTTGAACTTGGCCATGGACAAAACTCAAAATAACAAGAAAAGAACGCTGCGTCGAGTCGCTAACTAAAAACATTCCGATTATTCATTCGCCAGCCATGGAAATTCCCGCGAAAAACACTATAGGGCTACCAATCAAATGAATAACTTTTACTTCCGCTACAAACGAAAAACCGTGATTTCTCCGCCAATACTTACTATTTTCCACTTTTACATGTGTAAAGGTCAGTCTAAAACCATTACTATAATGAGCCAAAAATCAACATTTTAATAAAATTTTTCATCTGAAGTTATCCGGTTAACATTCAGATCTTTTTTGAAACAAATCGCATGGTACAAATTAAAAAAGAAAAAAAAAAAAAAGCGCGTAAAATAAATAAAAAGAGGTTATCCTTAATGCAAGAAAAATTTCCGGACATTTTTTTATTTTATCAGTTTATTTACGTGTTCTTCAAAACGCAAGTTAAAAAATTCTTTGTCTGAAAATATGCAATCTTTTGTCATGTTAATTTAACAACATAATTCTCAGCCTGATTCTCAGCTGGAACTTCCATCAAGCACAACAGAGTTAAATTCAAAATGTCCATTAACTTATCAATCAACAATTGCTGCGAATACGCAATTGCTGGAAGACAATAGAAAGTTTACTATGATTATCATTAACCTTCTTATTCCCATCACTCTAACCGGTCGGTCCGAAAAAAAACCCGTTCGATAGAGATAAGCTTTAACACTTTCTCACTCATTTATATCCTCTCCTATCTGAGAAATTTTGAACAATCGTCTTTCCCTTCTCGGTCGCGTTTGTGGGGAGGAGCGTTGCGTGACGACACTAAAAACGGCTGTGTAGGAGACTAGTTTCTCTAATGCTAAGTCATGCATTATTAGGCAATTTCAAAACTAACTTATTATTGTGAAACATACATAGATATAGCCAAGTCATAATCTACTGGAAACAAAATTTAGATTTGGGTTAGGGTTTTGGTAGAACTAGAGAAACTAGCAGAGAATTTAGAAAATTTTACACGTTTTTCAAAGAAATAGACGCGCTACTGTCAATCAGCAAAAATAATATGAAGATGACATGAAAAATATCTGCTAGACGCACAACATTCTTTTATAATCTGAATTTGCTGAGAAAAAAGCAAATGAAGACAGCAACTTAACAGCAATCGTGGTAAACATGTTTCTAAAGTACGAATTATATTTTGAATGAACAATAAGTTTATTATTATGTAACAGGGATAAATAAAACTAGGGCATAGGCGAAACGTCGATTTTTTCATGAGACGAACAAACTTGGTGAGTTAAGTGTATGAAAATTTCGACTTCTGGCTCAGTTAAGTTCGTCTATCCGTCTCCTTCAGACGTCTGAAGATCGTCTCCGAGACAAATTAATGTCGATCTTCATATGCGACGAACTAAACTATAAATATATCAAAAATAGGCCATTTGCAGTATGACGTCATTTTACCACTAAGACCAGAATCCTTCAGGGCTTTGCGTCCTTCTGAAAATTAGGGCTTTTGTTCTTTAAACCTCGCTGGGATGACTACATTTAAATATGAAAGGAAAAACGAAAAGGATTCTGGTCGTGGTAATAAAATGACGAACCAAGAACGAGAAGTCCAAAGACTACTGCAAAGCTGATTTAAAACAACGAGTATTGTTTTTTATAACAATATTTCGGCTGGCCATACCAGCCTTCTTCAGGTTTACAGATGTTACTGAACTTATGTAGCAATCACAATATTATATATGGAGAATGTTGCAATAAAATTGTTTAAAAAAGAGAGGCGCAAATGACGTACAACACAAAAACTGGAAAGGAAAAATACTAAAGAGATGGATTACAATAATTCGTCACGGCGGTTTAGGCCAAGGGCTTCAAGGGTCATGGCTTTATCTATCAAATGCGACTCCTGGCCTTACGAACTGAGCCACGTGAAGAATGAATTTTCTCTAGTGGGATTAACTGCATGTCAGTATGAGAATGGTTAGAGTGAGAAAGGAAGTGTTCAGAAACAGTAGTGGGTTTTAGATTTAATGTTAGTTTTGTCGACTGCACGTCTGTGTTCGTTAAATCGATCTGTCCTTGAGACGTCGCTTAGTTTCACCTATATATTGTAAATTACAGCGGTTACATTGAACCATGTAGATCACGTTTTTAGTGTTACAAGTAATGTGTGAAGTGATTGAGCGTGTTTCACCTGTCGCGTAAAAGGTATAACGTGAGGCTGTTAGTAATATATGGACAAGTGGCATAATTTTGTCCACAGCGGAAGGAGCCTGGCGGAAAATGATTATTGGAGATAACGGGTAATTGTGCTTCAACTAAAATGTCACGAAGATTAGGCTACGTCTGTAAGCAACAAAAGGAGGTTGCTTAAAGAAGTCTTTGCAACAGTTAGAAGAGTGTAAGATGTTAAAATGTTTACGTAGGATATTAGAAATGCGTGGAAGTGCTGGGTTATATGTGACAACAAATGGTACAACATCGTTAGAAGCTTTAGGTTTAGTCTGTAACGCGTTAGTACGAAAATTTGCAGCGCGTAGGAACTGTTCTTCTAGGAAATTATAATTATAACCACGAGCAAGGAGATATGTTTTTAACTTCATTAATGCGATGTTTAAACTTAGCCTCTGTAGAGCAGATACGGCGGACGCGGAGGCTAAGCTGAAAGGAATGGCTTTCTTAGTGTGGTGAGGATGGCATGATGAACTGAGAAGGTGCTGTGTGAATTAAAATGACGCCATCATGCACATGGCCTTTTGTTTGATAATGTATACTTAGCCTCGTTGGGAAGAAATTTATTACTGAACACCCGCAGGCCAGCTAAAATTGCTTTTTAGTCTGATTCAGTTTATTGGTTCGACGTGTCTTAACAACAGACGATCTACACTTAATTTAGGTCGATCCAAATTAGAGTTTGGTTCGTCTCATGAAAAGTTCGACGTTTGGGCTAGGCCTAAACCTTTTTGCTAGCATGTTTTCAGCAGCGGATCGAGAAAGCTAGTGCGGGAGGGACCCGGTTATCACGCCTTTAATT